TATCATATTTATTAAATCACTTTATTTTAGAATATTTTTTTTATAATTTCTAACAGTGCGTATAATATATATATATAAAACAGAAAGAGAATTAGGGGGAGAGAGGAATGGAATTGGGACACATCATAAATCAGATTCAAACCTGAATTATCTATATGAGCACCACGACTCAAAGTATTAAATGCATATGTGATCATTTCTGATACTTTTCAAAGTGTTTCATCATGCTGAGCTATATTGGTGTATTTACTGTTTAGATGCTAATAAAAATTATTCCACTTATTCCCCTAATTTTGGACTTTAATTTTGAAAATGTCTTGCCTCTTTCACTTCTCCTTCCCTTCCATCACTCATTTCCCTTTGTATTGTTTTCTTCCCTGCTTTTCCACCCTCCCTTACTCCATCTCTTCTTTTCTTCAGTGGGAATAATACCCCCTACAGGAGACTTCAAAGAGCAGGCCAGGCAGGGACAGGCTTAATTACCCGCCTGCCTTAAAACTGATTCCAAATCAAAACTTACTCTGGTCCATCTCTGTCCTGCCTTGGCAGGGCTAATTGTGGCCTTGGATTCTATTTTGGGGAGTTTTAAAAAAGAAAAAGTCACAATTAAATCAAAACTAGAAATATGTGGGTGGCACATCACACATCATCATGTACTTTATATAGTTCTGGAGGTCCTGCCTGATTGATGTGAATTTTGGAGCAATTTCAGGGTACGGTATATAATTTAACATTAGTCATTTTATATAATAGTGTTTGCTTTGTGCTAAGTAACACCTTAGTACTAACTCAGGGCTGTGCATGTTATATCGCAAGTGTTTTATTTGGCCAGTCCAGAAAGTACTTCTATATACTTTTCTCTGTTTTTAATCTTACACGGGGTAATCCAGACTTTTTTTAAGCGAGTGAAGTTTTAAACCTCTCCGGGATGTGCAACGAGGTTTCGATGGGTGGCCGAGGGAGAGCATTACGTCGGGGTATTTAACACCATGGGGAGTTGGATACGAGGGGGCTTAATGATGCCGTAGCAGTCGGGATGAGCGCTAATTCACCGCCCAGGGCCCGCGACGGATGGGGCACCTGCAGGGCCTGCCATCAGTCAGCTTACCCACCCTCGACAGGTCCCGGGAGGGGCTCCAGATCCCTCCGACTCATGGAGCTCTGCCACTCTCCACAAAATGGCCTCATAATGACAGACGAGTGCGTGAGGTAGTTTGAATCTTTTTGCTTTTCTTTTCATTCTAAAGCTAACGCGTCAGCCTCTGAAAATTGTTTGTAACTAAAAACACATAAGAATTTTAAACACAAACAAATATGTTTATGCTAAAAAGTCTTGCGTTCCCTTAAGATTTCCCACACGATAAGAACCCTGGAGCCAATTATTTTCAGATTACAATAGTGTTATAGCATGGTGTCTTGCTTGATCTGTTTATATGACATCAGAGCAAACAGAAGCTAAATCGGTGATACGGTTGAATATTGTGTGACCTCACAAAGCATTTCTCTCGTACGGCCCCGCCCACTCTTGTTTTCATGTCAGTTACATATAAAAAGCTTTATTATACCTCAATAACAAATACAAATTTTATGATGACTCGAGAAATAAAGAGTAAACAGCAGTGAAAATTCTTGTTTTTTTTTATTTAAGACCTGCATACCAAAGTTGCCTCAGTCCAAACAAGGGGTATCAGCGTTTAATGCTTGGAAGAAATACGGGAGGAAAAAATACTAAAATATACACAGAAGGGCGGCTTTCAAAAACAACTAGTATAACACAAGTGAACATAATTGTCAGTTTGAGATGAACGTACTGTATAAATTAGTGGGCAAACAGTCGTACAGAGCTCTTTGACCTCCACAAAGTGCCACATCTTTTTTTAGATGCAGATACCAGAGGCTAATACACTCTGGGAAAGGGTTTGAAAGTATACATGGTGGGTCAGGTTGATCGATTCCTGTCTGTATGAGTGTGGTCAGTTTTAGTAGCTCTTGATGACTTTAATTGTAGCCTTTGGTTGAAGGCAAAAAGCTTTGATGTGAATTGCACACAATTGGAGAGATCATATACAGCGAGGTTTGGCTCGGCTATCCTGTTACCTACACATTTGAAAGTCCCGTGTCGATTATTTTAGACATACTATGAGCGAGCCTGTTTCCTGTGGGTGTGGGTGTGTCTGTGTGAGAGAGAGAGAGAGAGAGAGAGAGTGTGTGTGTGTGTGTGCAGAGGGAAGGAGACAGACAGGGAGAGAAAGAGAGAGAGAAAGACCTTCCAACATTTCCAGACCTTTTTCTTTACTTCCTGATCAGAAAATGATGACACGATAATGACTTGGACAACTAAAACATCTTGTATTTGTGCTCTATTCTTCCCATGCTAAAAAAAACTGAACTTTACAGGCCCCAGAAATCAGGTATTACACCCCAAAAATCAAAGGACAGAGAGGGGCTTTGTTTTAAAAAAAAAAAAAAGACACACTGCTGCCAGAACACACAAATAAAAAAAAAAAAAGATCAAGAGAGAGAGAGAAACAAAACAAAGTCTGGGCAAGCATATAAAAATTATTTACAACCAAGATAAGAGTGAACAAAACATTTACTGTTTTATATGTAGCTACAGTAAAAGGTCAGACAACCTCATCTTAAACTCATCTGTACATTTTTAATTTCAATTTTCACAATTGTATCCTGCCAAATGTGTGTACATATACAGTATATATATATATATAAATATATATATATATATACACACATAAACACATCATAGTGCCTACACATGTATTTCATTCCAGCCATTAAGAAAATCCATTACCAAAGAAGAAACCAGAAAGATATACATGACAGGAACCTCAGTATTTTTCCTGTGATCATCTTTCCATATGTAAATGTCGCTGGCCCCATTGCAGTTCTCTTTTGATGAATTTAATCTTTATTTTCTTATACCCAAGGCAGAAAAGTTACTAAAACTCAGGACTTTTACAGTTACAGTGACAAAACATTTTAAAGACCCACAATTTAAATTGGACTGCGAAATGAAATTAATTGAAAAGAAAAAAAAAAGAAAAGAAAGAAAAGACGTAAAGAAATAATAATTGGGAAAAACTATTTTTTTCTTTTATTTCCTTTTTTTTTTCTTTTTCTTTTTTGTAAAATGCCCAGGCATTCTCCAATATTACAAATACTGGTATACTTTTACAGTAAACAAGAAAAATGTCATATATATATTTATTTATATATATATATATATATATACTTAAAATCCCGTCACCAAAAACCAATATACACACGCCACTATGGCATTCAGAGAAACTTTATAAGCAAACTTGATAACAAAAAACAGAAAAGGAAAATTCTTGTTTGTTTAAAACACACATACACAGAAATATAATTTTACCCTTGTACTTGTTTCAATACTGTAAACGTATTTTAAGACAGAGTGCACTAAACGTTTTACTTTTTTCTTTTTTCTTTTTTTCTTTTTTAAGTTTATGTAGTTCCTGATTTTTGTCCAGCCTCTTCCTTGCCTATTTGTAGCAAAAAATTATCCATTATTTTCAATGCATAAGGCTGTTTCAAGTGATTTAAGAAACATTCTAATAGAATGACAACATTGCTAAACATGTAACTGAATTAATTCTAACCTAATCTGGTTAAAGTGGTGACTCCCTCTAGAACAGCAGACCCTAATACCCAAAAATGAAACAACAGAACTGAACACAAAATAACAATGTTTAGATTTAAATGTCAGTCAATGGAAACAGAACAGTGATGCTGCCTTGCTTTTGACTAATGTGCTTTTAGGTTTACTAACCTGAATTGGACTGTAAAGACCCTTCTCTCTCTTTCTCTTCCTGTGTGTGTGTGTGTGTGTGTGTGTGTGTTTAAATCACTCTCCTAGTGTACGAAAACTGCTTCATCCTCTGGCCAAGACATCTGTCCCTTTAACTTAACGCTGTAGTATGACAAGCCACTTTTATGGGAAAGATGGAGTTGATTCATGACATTTAGTGGTGGTTGGCAGTGTAATATGAAGTGTGGAGACGAGGCGAGGCGAGGGTTGTGAATTAGCTGAACCAGAGGACCGGACTGCTTTATCAGAGAAGACGGCTGAGATCAGATAGCAGACTTGGCAAAAGTAGCTATGCAGCTCACCCTGAGTTGGTTTAAAGCCATCTTCCTTCTACCACTATTGTGCTGTTCAGCAAAATCAAATGGGTTTGATTAAGTGCAGTGTCTATGGAAAGGGTGCTGGCGATTAAAATTCACTATTGAAACCAAGTGAGACCTATAACACAATCCATCCTATGACTAGCGTTGTCTGGGTCGGTACTAGGTACCGATAAGCAGCTGCCTTGACTTTTGTCTGTTTTTATAGTCCCCTCTCCTTGATTTCAAGTAGACGGAGGTTTTCAGCCCAACAGTCCTCTTTAGATTTACTATTAGAACTGATATTCAGTGCTACATTCCCAATTAGATTGACATGCTTAAAATCAGTTTGTGCTACAAGGTCTAAGGATTGTTGTCCGCTCATTTTGTAAGTATGAATAATAAACAAAAAAGGAAAACAAAAGAAAAGACAAAGCTTTCTCAATTCAGCGTTCAAAATTTGAAGATTGAATGTGGCTTCTCTTCAAGAAATTACATGTGTATCTTAAATAATCTACATCGTAAGCAGCGGCCTATGGATTTCTCAAACGATACTCTGTTTTGCTAAAAACAAACAAACAAAAATCTCAGGATGTCTTTTGGGTTTAAACAAAATCTCAGCATTTGAAATAAATCATAAGATAATGGAATAAAAAAATTATTAAATAAAAAATGAACCTGCATATGCCAAAACATAAAAAAAAATCCAATAAATACAGAAATTATTGCACAGTTAAAGGCTCCATATAAAATATTGTCTAATGTATCCACTCATAGATAGGTGACTTATACCAGCTCCAAATTAATTTTTAAAAAAAAAAAAAAAAAAAAAAAAAAAAAAAAAAACCCAACAACAAACAAACGGAAAAAAGATAAAATAAAAAAACAGAGTATCCAGCTACCCCTTTTATAATCAAGGAATTGTGAGACAAAATAGGAAATCTGGCTTAGCTTCTCTCTGCTTGTTCAATTTTGACCTCATTCGTCATCAAATGTTCCCCATGCCACTTTTTCATGTGTTTCTCGAGCGTGCTGTAGACGCTGAAGGGCATTTGGCAAATGTCACAGCGGTACACTTCCTTACCGAGCTGGCCGTGTGTCTTCATGTGGCGGGTGAGCTTGCTGCTCTGGGCGCAGGCGTAGTTGCAAAGCTCACACTTGTAGGGCCTCTCGCCTGTGTGGCTGCGTCTGTGCACTGTCAGATTGCTACAGTTCTTGAACACCTTCCCACAGTACTCACAAGTGTCACTCCTCCGGCTTTCTTTTGAGCTGGGCCGGCCCGGTCCCAAGTGTGGGGTGCTGCCTCCACTAGCGGTACCACTGCGGCCGGAGAGGCCCCCGTCCAGCAGGTCCCCTGGCGGCGTGGAGAATCGCAGGCTGCCGTTCTCGGAAGAGTGCTCCGAGGAGGTGGCGAATGGAGATTGTCTGGAATCGGTGAAGCCAAGAAAGGGATCTTTGATGAAGTGGCGGGATGCTGCATAGCCCACTAGCCACTGGGAGTAGACATTTTCAGATGGGATTAGGGGGGCTGAGGGTATGTCCAAATCCTTTTCGATTTTGATCCTCTTGTTAGAGGAGTTGGAGAAGCTTGGGCTGGTGATGGGAGTGGGCTTGCGGGGAAACAGGCCCGAGAAAGAGTCGCCTGAGCCACAGTTCCTTCCGTTCACAGTTGCGCGCTCCACTTGGTCCATTTTCCCCACTACTGAATCGTTGTCACCTGCATCCCTCTGCCCTTCTGACATTCTTTTATAGAACGGAAGCCTTTTCCGATTGTCGACTATTAAGTTATTGTACTGCTGGATGGAGCTGAGCCCTACATTTTCCACCATCTTCCCCAAGGAGAGGTTCTTCTCATCTGAAAGTGGCTTTGAGCCATTTTCCCTATTCCGACTAAACTCTGAGTCCATGCTGAAGTTTGACTCAGGCCTGCTCTCATTTTCTAGTTCCTCCTCTTCTTCCTCTTCCTCCTCCTCTTCATTTTCAGGGCCCATGCCCTCACCTCTAAAGTCGCCATCTCTGTTCTTCATACCCTCCCCGGTGACGTCACTAGTGCCTGGCTCGGGTGAACTGGTGGTGGACAGGCCATCGTCAGAGCGCCCTGTCAAAGAGCCAGACTTGTGCATGTGGGTCTTCATGTGGCGTTTCAGTTTGCTAGCCTGAGAACAGGCATGGTCACACAGTTGGCACTTGTAGGGTTTCTCGCCCGTGTGGCTTCGCCGATGAACAACCAGGTTACTCTGAAACTTGAAGGTCTTGCCACAGAACTCACAGGACTTTGACTTGGCCTGTGTCTGTGGCGGGGTGGTGCTGTTAGGGGGCATGGGAGGCAGCGGAGGGGTGCTCAGAAAGGGCGACTTCGGGCTGGGCTGGAAGGGGTTGGGATTGAGGAGGCGATGCATAGGGTTGGCACGGCTTGGTGACAGCGGTGGAGTGGAGTTGTTGTTTCCAGCGAGCTCCCTAAGTCGGCGGGAGAAATCCATGGACTGGGACTCCATGGCCATGGGTGTCATGCGCATCACTCTCTCAAAGGCACTGGGATGCTGGGAGATTAAACCCATTTCCTCTGCGCTAAGGCGTTCTAGGCGATGGGGATCTAAGTGATGGCGAGGAGGGGGGCTGACAAAGGGAGGCGTATTAGGCAGGCGGTTTTCCACAAAGCTTGGTGGGGGCTCTCGGAGTAGGGGCCCAGTCATCCGTAGGAGGTGGAAGGGGTTGTTGTCCCCTAAAAAGTTGGTTAATGGGGACTGTGGTATGGATTCAGCACCAATGGGGGGAGGAATAGTGATCCGTGGGGTCAGGGAGGTATTTGAGGGGTTGGTCTCCAAGTAGATGCGGATCCCATGCATGTTCTGAGCGTGCTGCAGGAGGAACCAGGCATTGGTAAAGGGCTGTTTGCACGTTGTGCATATGTAACTCGAAGGTTCATCTCTACCTGCAACCAAGCAGAAAACAACAAAGATCTTTATTTGTGTTTCAGTTTAATACCTCTGCAGGTCACTTTCACAACACTTGTGTCAGAATGCCAGAAATTTAGGCCTGGTAAATAAACCACTAAAATCAGATCTGACTTGATAAAAAAATTAGGCATAGGGTCAAGCATGATTACATGTTACAAAGAACAAAGGTTTGAGGTATCGACACTTTGGGCAATGGCCATTTTCGTGCACTCATCAGGCTGTCACATGAACAGGGCAACTCACACTTAATAGAGCTGTGACAAGTGCATTTCCATACTGCTCCACGAAGGGTTGGTGCTATGGGAACATTGCATTCCCCATTTCAGCTTGTTTTTAATCTTCGCTTTTACAAACGACTGACTCATTGTAGAAGCATAATGCCAGGCAAGAGAACTCTAAACTGGGAAATCCTCCAAGCACTGAGACTGGCCTAGGATGCCAGAGTAATATGCCACCAAATTTGAAAAGTACAACTTATACTGTGATTTAGGGGATTCTCATCACTATGAAACAAATAAAATTAAGTTGTCTCCTCAAAGAAACGAAGAAAAAATGAGAGAGGAGGGTGTGGGTTGGGGGAAGGGGGAGCACACATCAAGATAAATGGTTTCAAATAAAGAGTGAAAACACTGCCTGTGATTTAAGAGGCTATGGGGGGAAAAAAGCACACCGGTGTGAGTGTTAAAGTCTGTGGCATTTAAAACAGCTCAAGGGTATTATTTACTGTTCCATTAAGAATTTCTCAAGATTGTTTTTCTTACTTCGTCTCACGTTTTTATCTTATTCTATAGTTACACTTCCTGGAAAGCCCCCTCCCTTCTTAATGACATCACAGTGAATCACTGCTTCTCTGAGAGCAAGTTTGATTAGAGAAAAAAAATGGCTCACTAGTGAATTAATTGCACAATTTTACTGATAACAATTTTATTCCATATTTCAGGTATTTTAATCATATAATTAAATACCAGCAAGTAAATGTGTGAAGTCTGCATACACTCTGGGTTCAGGTAAAGTGTGAACAGTATCAGTTCTCAGATCAGAGGATGTGTTAAAAAGTGGCTCCTGTGCTTGGTGTGGCTCTGGAGCTTTAACTGTACATGACTAATTGATGCTACAACTTCACCATTACACCGGTTTCACCATGCAAAGGGGACTCATTACCATTGCAGCACAAACAAGCGAAGTGTACCGAGTATACAATGAAAAAGGATGCTAAACCATCTCTGCTGTCCTCCAGGGGCACTGGTGTTAAAAAAAAATCTACGAAGTCGAAATTGTAATTGTGCACTAGGAAATGAGTTTCATTTATTTATTAAATGAAAGCTTGCTGTTCTGACCTAATGCGGCAATTTAGGATACACAGAAAAACATATGCTGCTGTAATTGTTCGGGTATTTGATTTCTGGCTGTGCTTTGTGTACCTTTATGAGTGTTTACATGTATATGTTTGTGTGCAAGAGCAAGCGACTGTAGATAGAACAATGGGGCGGCAGTCACAGGGCTCGGAGGAGCTGGGACTAGGAAGACCTCATGGGTGTCTATTTCAATCATGGCTATTGTGAAGGATCAAAAAGAGCAGAGAGAATGAATGGTTAGTATCTGTTCTAGCATTCCTTTACATGCTGCCGAAGAGCAATGCTAAACAGGGGAGTATGTTTTCATCTGAAAGAAATAGAGACAAGGGATTACATACAGCAGTAGCCTAAAGCTCCATCTTATTGGTGTACTGAGATGCAATATTTCATCAAGGAATTTGAACAGTAAGCACACAAACATGTAAATTAGTAAAAAAAAAAAAAAAAGGAGTAGTGCTATGCACATATAAAATTTTCAAAAGTTCCACATTAACAACATTAAAAAAAAATGCACATCCCAAAATGTGACGTTTTCTTCTGCCGGTATCATAGCATCCTATTTGTGCTTTCGAGAAATATCATCATCAATAGTTTGAACTTCAAGTACTGTTTGGGGTCTGACCCAATGCCATTTAATAACTAAACACACACACACACACCTTTAGAATTTAAATATCAGGTTGATTCCTAATGACTTTTCCTAATATTATAAAAATCTGATTATAAACAAAAGTAATAATATGCTTTAAACATCCTCAATGAAAAATCATATATTCTTTTTTAGTGTTTAAAATAAAAAAATAAATCATATGCTAACATCAGTTTCAGATTGGTCTAAACACTAAGAAATACACTCCAACCACTGTTTTATTGTAAGCTTCTACAATTAATTTTTCCTATGGTCAAAGTGACCTCAAACAAACAAATTTACTATATTTGTTTTCAGACACAGTTCTAAAAAGTGCATATTTGCTTTATGATAATTTAAATTTGCAATAATGCAATAATAATTGCAATAATAAATTGGATTTTGAATAACTCATGATACTAATTAATAAAAAAAATGCAAATGGGGAGAAAGGTATATTTTATAATTACTATTAAGATTTATACTATTTGAGACCTCAAACATAAAATACGAACAGTCACTCACGAGGGTTAAAACAAAAAGCTTCTGTCAGATGATGTGTGTTAGCTGATATATATGACACAGAAAGAAATGTTGAATCAGTGCCCTTTTAAATGTAAAAACCTTCGAAAAAATGAAACATTTTCAAGCACTTAAATGCATTTTAAAGGTTCGCTGAGAAAAAAATGCATTCACCACTAGATGTTATTATGTGGCTGATGTGCATTCATAAGAACATCTGTTTACCTCTACCGTTGTCCTGTAAAGCCTTTGACTTAATTACAGCGGACAGAGCGTAAGCTCCAGCACAATGCCGCCCCCCCCACCCATATATGCATAAAACACACACACAACCCTCCAACCTCCTCTTTTTGTTTTATGGCAGATGCTTTCAAAGACTAATGCTCCATGTAAAGGAGGCCTAGAAAACAAGTAGCGTCTGTGTTTCCCAGGCACTGTCCTTTTCCTCTGTGTGTGGAGAGAGAGGGGAAGAGAGAAGAGAACGAGAGAGAGCCTTTCTCTATGCTAACTACCGGGGCATAAAACACAGGCTACTGTACTAGCTGATACTCTCGCAGACAAACAGAAGTCATCAGGGGGCCGAATGTTCATTTCTGCCCCACAATTAAGATGAATCAGTGGCCGCTGCCTGAAATGATATTTGTGGCCGTGCTGAAGGGACTCGGGCGTGAGTTTATTGAGAAGTGTTCAGCGCCCGCACTCCCAAGGGGATTGGAGTCCGACGCAGATGGCAAATAAAGTATGCAGCCCGAGGCGAGAGCACATTATGCTAATTCTAATGTCAGCTGTACTTTAATATACAGCTCTATTTAATCACCCTATTATTTCACATTTCCATATGAAAAAAGGAAGAGAGAGGCAGAGAGGGGGATAGAGAGCGGGAGAGAAAACGTGCAGCACTTCTCTTGCTACTAACACTAAGAGTGTGCTCAGGTTTAGGTGGATGTGCCGGCATGGGGTGCTGTAGCTATTCACTATTAGATTTTTGTATCAACACACGTTTGCACACATTTCCACCTAAAATAACCATAAGGAATCATTTACACCTAAATATCACAAGACACACTTTTATACAGGTAATATTTTACAAAGTGATACATAAATATTAAATGTACTAATACTAACTATGCACCTAAAACACACACTCATAAATACAAAAATGCATACATAAATGCGGACATACCCAAGACCCAAAATAAAACGGAATCCGCAACACATAACAATCGTAACGTGATTTCCAAAAAATTTAAAAAATTGTTATTTTATTGGATTGTGAGTCAGGCTTTGTTAGGCTATGGAATTATTTTAAATTTATTATATTGTTAATTGTATTAATATTTTTACATATACACCCACACATACACAATTATAAAACTAAAATTTACTTTAAAAGATTACTTCAGAATAGCATCCACTAATAAAACTAAGATCATAGTTATGTATACAAGCACAGATATGTACACATTTACCTTTGCAAATACAACAAAAAGCATGACGCTAAATTACCAGATTTTTTTTTACCAGATTACAGATTTTTTTTCATTGTTGTAGTGCATTATGATGATTCAGATTTCTCAGATTTGGAAATGAAAGGGCCGAATAGCAGCCTGCCCATTCTGCTGATAAGTTTTGAGTGATTAGTTTCTCATGCTGAGCACTGGCTGATTCTATTTTCAATTAGATATTCCCAACGAGGCCCAGCTGCCAGGCGGGAGAGGAGAACGAGGACAGTATTGTGTGAAAGTGTGTGTCATCGCCAGTATCAGTCGTGCATGCAGACCCCAATTCAATTAAAGAGAAATTATCACTAATAACAATCGTGGCTCTTCGCACACACCGACTTAAACGGCATGCAAATGCTGGGCTTAAAGGCACATTAACCGAAAAATAAAAAGATGACAGTTAATAGGTTTCAGCGTCGCTCTGAGAGGTACAATGATCCACTTTAGCTTTCATCCTGAAAATGAAAAAATAAATAATACAAAAATAAAAGAGGAATAAAAATTATTCAACATGCATTCTCTGCAATGTGGCCACTTTATATTGCAGTTCACAGTTAGTGTCACAAATTTACCTTGACGCTTATTTTGTGGTAGTCGTTAATAGCGACAAGGCCAATGTTTGAGCATAAAGTACACTTGAAGATGTGCTTAATGAATGGATTGGCTTTTGTTGTTTGCACCATAAATGTGACCCTGGACCACAAAACCAGTCTTAAGTGTACATTTTTCAAAATTGAGATTTATACATCATCTGAAAGCTGAATAAATAAGCTTTCTATTGATGTATGGTTTGTTAGGATAGGACAATATTTGGTTGAGATACAACTATTTGAAAATCTGGAATCTGAAGGTGCAAAAAAAATCAAAATATTGAGAAAATCACCTTTAAAGTTGTCCAAATTAAGTTCTTAGCAATGCATATTACTAATCAAAAATGAAGTTTTGATATATTTACGGTAGGAAATTTA